CAGAAAATCTGTTTGATTTATAAACCAAGAAAAGACAACAGAAGATCCAAGGGGAAATAAATCAGGCTCACTTGAGGCTCTCTGCTTTCCTAGGGAATTTCTTTTGCCAGAACCACATCTTAGAAAACACCCTTCAAAAGAACCCTGTTTCATACTTTTGGTCTATAGATCTTTTGGCCATAGATCTGGGTGAAGCGCAAACCCAGATGGGTAATTAATGATAAGGATTAGGCCAGAGTCTCCCCTGGGGATGTTGCAGCCTGGAGAAGCCCCCCCAGAGGAGAACTGATGCAGATGCCACTTGGCATCATGCCTGCAGTGACTCTCGGACCTGGTGCCAATGACTAAGGAGGAACCATCCTGCACATCCAGCAAACTTGCAAGGCAAGGGATTCAGAGCCACTGCGATCCACGCGAAAGAAAACCCAGAGAATTTGAGGCCAGAATCCAGTCACTGGGTCAGAAGTTTGGGTTTTTTCATCGCAGAAGGGAGACTGCAAGTAGAAGTTACAACTTCAATATGCAGGCGGAAACATGGAGTTGTGTAATTGAACTTGCATTGCTGCCCAATAATCCAGGCTAAGAGGAGTTTATCTAGGTACAGAGTGAAGCTTATTTTAAAGCCAAGAATTTGCATTGAAACTCCTGCTTCTTCCCAGTACCTCTGCACAAGAGGAGGGCCATGTATGATGGCAGACAAGGAAGGGAGGTGGCTGATCCAGGTCCACCAACAGCTTTAGTGAGCAGAAGTGAGACTGGCACACCACCAGAATCAGTGTCTGGCCTGAAGAGGACCAGCCTGGAGATAGCCCCAGCAAGGAAACAATCTGCCACACTGTCCCCAGATTGCTGAACTCAAGATTATGTCTCCTGAGAAGACATGAACTCCCCAAAAGGATGTCTCCCTGCACTCTCTCCCCAGCCTGTATGGGACTGGATTTGCCCTTTCCTCATCTAATTCTGTGCTGAACCTACTTTTCCCCTCTTATCTGACTTCATTTCTCCTCAAAATGCACTTCTACAAATTCCTTTCCGAGCAAAGGGCGACTTGCAAGTTGCCCAATCTCAGCCACGACTTTGGCTTAGGCTGTGCCTCCAGCCTTGGGCATGAACCCTCTGTTCCGTGGCATGTGGGATCTGTGCCCTGTTTTCAGGACTGGCTTACTGGGAAATGCCAGCTCACACGCTCTGCAGGTCAGGTAACTGCCAGCACGGCGGTGTACTGTCCTGCTGCTTCAGCAGCGCTGTCTCTCTGCAGTGTCCTTACAGGGACTGCAGCCCATGTCCTCTTACTCTCATGGAAATAACACCTGCATGTCAAACAGGTAGTAAATATGATGCTCTTGGTTTTAACAGCTTTCTTTTACACCCCGAAGGCAGTTATATTCAACTTCTTTTGCCTGTTGCTTCTGGAAACAATAAAATACTTAAAAGAAAGTAGAAAGAGCTTGTAAGATCCTGTTCCCATTGATAACCACTCAAGTGAACGTATCACTTAACATTTATGACAATCCAGCTGGATGGAGTCATGTCCATGATTGATAGCTACACTTAGCAACTTTGTGGTTTTGATTGCTGAGACAGGATCCAAAGGGATTAAATGCTGGATGACATCTCAGTGGAAACCATAGCACTGGGAACACATTTATATGTTGGATAATGGATGAATGTGCTGCTGAAAACAGACAGGAAACCTTTTTTTCAAACCAGACTGAAGGGAACAGAACTCAGACGCTGAATACATGGATGCCGTCCATGGATGTCTGACTTTTGCTGACAAACAGCATATAGCTTTTGTGATGCATAAAGTGGCAAGACCTGTACCCAGACCTCCCTTACCAGCAATCCTAACAATGCGCTGTCTTACATCCCCAAAAGCTGACGGCCAGTGCTTCACAAACCTCCCCGAACCAAGTTAAACTCCTTTAAAAGACCTCTGCGGTTGATGATGACACTTTAGATGAAGGATGGAACCACTCTGTGAGTGAACAACAGCAGTATTTATGTTCTGCAGTGGCAAGGAGAGATCAGAGACCACAACACACTTAAATTCAGGCAATGTATCTTTAACAGGGCCATACATTTTAGGGTGCCTACCAAGTTTTGTATCTATGTATATAAATGTGTGTGTATGTATATAAATACACACACATATGTATATACACACATATATCACCTCCCAGTAAGCACTGGGTACTTTCAGTTCTGGAGTTCCTACATGTCTGTCTTAACAGATCTGTATTCAGACACTTGAGAAGTGACTTCAAATCTGGATCTCCTCCCTGGGCCTGATGTCCCAATCTGCTTGTGCACTGGCACGTCTTGCATAAGCACCTCAAGTCCCATTCAATATGCTGCTGCTTTATCACTTCCCCACAGCAAACCTCACAGATCTGCTCCAGAGCAACCCTATATGTAACACAGGAGGTCCAGATTTTCTGCCAAGAAAATCTGGCTGTAGAAGTGGTTGACTTCAGCTGTCAGCATGGGCAGGGGAAATAACCTCAAGGCAAAGAAAAGTCAACATTTTCCACAAGGATCCATATGGCTAAGTCAAGACATTCCCTAATTATTCTTTTTAACAAGCATCGCTGCCTAAAATAGAAATCTAAATGAAACTCTTGCACTGAAAACCTAAAAATTGTAGCCAGTCTTTTTACACTTAATTTTTAATGTGTTATATATCCACACCTCATGATTTGTTTCTAAATTCACATGTATTTTACAATAAGATCATATATGGACAACTTCTCCATTTCTTTAGCCATGTTCATAGCTCCCAGTTTTCCTGGACCTTTTACTGTGTTGTATTACAAAGGAAGCATTTATACCAGCGTGCAATGCACATACACACTAAAAGATTTCAAGTGCAAAAGGTGACACTGTTCTTGGTTCTAAGACCCTGCTATTATCCTGACTACAGGGAGTACAAAATAAATTCTGCATTTAAGAAAGAAGCAACACGTTTTTCTTGAGGAGCCTGTTTTTAAAAACGGTAGTTGTTTAGAACTTCTGAAAAGTCAGCCCGCATCCCTGGGAGGCAGAGGATGGAATCACAGGTGTGTGCAAAATAGCCCACACTATCGACAACACATCTTCCTGCCCTCTCCAGGATACTGTTTGCGTATTTGTATACGTGATGCATTTACCCCACACGAGGTATCAATGACATTACTAAGAGATTCCCTTGATTCCAAAAAGCCTTGGCCAGTACCTGCAAGACGCTCACCTCCATCAGCTTTCTCAGAGACCAGAGCTGATCCTCCTGACGTTAGTGAAGAAGAGTGAAGCATACCAAGGACATGGTTATCACAGTGGATTCCACCAGATGTACCTCAGGGGCACTCAGAGAGGTACTCACTGACACTCAGCCTGTCATTGACATCTAGTTTTGCTCAATTCTTACCACTCTACTGTTCCTTTATCTTTTCTTCAACTTGTGCTGCCTTTGCTGTCCCTCTCCCTGCTTCCCACTGAACACCAAGTCTTCTGTCTGCTCCATTAATTCTTTATTTCCAACGTTTGCCCACCCAGCTTAACAATTTTGAGTATTAACATGATAAGAAAGGGAGAAAAAACACCAAAAAAGACATGGTAAAAAACAAAACAAAACGAAACAAAACAGTCACAGACGCATTGGGATGGGAAATGGGGTGCTCACACTGCTCATCCTGGTAATATGCACCATCTAAACTAAAATTCCCAAACTTCCTATTACAGAGAGATGCTCTTGTTTGGAAACATCCTCTGGGGCATCTCCTTTTTTTCCAGTCTGTACAGGGAGTTTAACCTCCTAATTTAGGCAACAGCAACACAGATCCTCCTCCCTCCTCCCTCCCACACCGAAACCACCCAATAGTAACCAGTGCCTTGCGATGGTGCAATAAACAAGCAAGCCCTGGGGCTTACAGGATGTAACTAATGAAAGAAATTAAACACCCCCTAATCCCCACAGCTCACCACATTTACTGCACCATCTCAAAGGAAGAGCTATTCTCTTGTTTGTGAAAATCCCTCTGCACTTTCAGCTCAAAGGCATTAGCATATCCTTACATGCATGGGCCAAAGTGCCAATTACAGAATGGGGACTTGGGACTGCTGCTGCAGGTAATGCTGTTCCTTGATCAATACCTACTCTGATCAACCGATCATTGCTTTTTTATTTAAAAAACCAACAACATACTTTACTGCATGGGAAGCTTACAGCTAACTGAATGGTGGCACATGAAGCACCTCTTCTTCAGAAGTAGGAAAAGGTCAGCTCACACATACAAACAGACAGCAAGCTGAGAGATACCTCATGCATCTCATTGCACGGAGAAACCCAAAGCAACACATCAAAGCTTGGCTTAGACTAGCAGAAGTAAACTACTCTCTACAACAGTGATTTTGGACATTATTTTTGTTGATTGAAAAACATTAAAAATAGAAGTGAGCCACAAAATCGTATTTTTTCCCAATGCTTTTGGATATTTTTTTAGTTATACTTATGATAATTCTCTGAATAATCAAAATGCTTAGCAGTCCTGGTTATTAGCTAGGACTCCACTGTGCCAGAAGAATGGCCACATGGCCACAGCAGCAACGTCACTCTTTTATCGATTAGCATAAGGCACCCAAACTCATCATGGCTGTTCTCTGATTCCCAAAAAGCAAACAAAATCTCTACAGAATAACAAGGCTTTGACTATGCTTCTCTGCATCTGTAGGTTAAGAACTAAAAGAAACCGGAGTAGCAGCTGAATACTAGAGAAGACAGCCTAATAAAAATCTAGTGGAAGCAAAGGAAAAAGAAATTCTACAGGAATCTACCAAGTATCTTGCGATATCCATATTACTTCCTGCTTAAAACATCCTCAATCCCTCCCTCAACTTCACAGACCAGGCACATTATACATTCCTGCAATAAAGCCAGTTTGTCATCAGAAGGCCATTTCAATTATACAGAACTCTTCCCCCGGGACACCGTATTATTTCTCCTTCACCAGCTACCAACTTACCCTCCAGCGTACAGAAACGCGTCACCTTCTCCGGCATCAGCTTTCCATGCTTGTGCTGACAATACACGTCTGCGATCTCCTGCCGACACTGCTTAGATTTAGACCGGGACATGGCTGAGATTGCCTCTTTGCCCGTTACCTCACACTTTGGTGGTTGGTCATATCTCAGTTCAGGGGAGCTGTCTCCAGGTTTTTTTAAATGAGGCTGTCTGGGAGACCTGTGAATCTCCTTCAAATTGTTGTTGTTGCTGCTGCTGCTGCTGTTTTTTCCAGGGTGATCACTGAATTGCACCACCTCATTGGAGTTCTTCCCCAGCAGCAAGTTCTCCTTCATCTTCTCCTCTTCCAGTTTCTTTCTCAAGTGCTCCTTTTGCTTGCTAAGGGGTTTTTTCACCAGCTCAGACTGGTGGTTTTGCCTCTGAGTCCTGGGAGCAAAGTTACTGTTATCAATATTTTCAAAGTCCTTGGGGACTGAATTTTCATTATTGCTGTCTGTTCGCATTTTCTCTTTCGGTCGGTGGGAAAAATAGCCATCCTATAAATGGGGAGAAAAATTATACTCATCTTACTAAAAACAGTCACATCCCATGCATTACAAGCATTTCTTACATGAAAACATAAATCAATTACAACCCAACATACTGCAAAAAACCAAAACCCCATGTTGGGGTTCAATAACAGAAAGATGGAGCTGAGAGAGGCCCCTGAGCTGGCCAAGCCAGTGCAGACAACCACCCCTTCATCACCAAGTCAGAGTCCAACCCCATTTCAGATGGGGTAGGGATGTTTTGCACAGGTCTGTGAGTAATTATTAAGCAGAAACTTCACCCTGACACCATTAAAAATCAATTGCAAATCAGGCACAGGTTTCAGTGGAGCAGGAGCAGGTCCTTCAACACTTTTCTTCCCTCCTTGTGTTAATGACTATAGTTTGATACCCTGGGAACTGCCCCACTCCGCTGAAGAAAGCACCGTGTGACTTCACAGACCAAGCTTTCTCTCAGTGAAGTAACTCTGCTACAACCCCAAACCTTCCTAATTTGGGGTTTTTTTGGAGTTTCTATATAATAAAACTCTGGAGGAGTGTTTCCCATGAGGTTCATTGCAGCCTTGCTGCAAGTGGGAAGCTGTGGCAGCACCAAGCACAGAGCGAGAGAGCGAGCAGCCGCAGACACTCAGACTCCCTGGGAGGGTCAGAGCCTGGCTCATACATCAGCTCTTCACCACCATGCTGGGCACCCTTTGATAAATGCACAGACTATAATGTTGGAACATTTAAAGTATATCACGTAAAGGAAAAGGAATAGATCATGTAAAATATTTGCCTCATGAAGAATAACACTTTGCTTCAAGATTCCATCCTCACCTTTGCCAGCTATCATGGGAATTCATTCTAGCCCATCAACAGCACAGTAAGTTTGCAACACCAAAGAAAAAAGAGGACTATTTCCAGGGGTCCTTGAGACAACCCGTTCTAGAAAAGGTGTGACACACTAGAACAGAACTGAGAGGCACTTCTGTGTGTATATTATACTAAATGGGAACCTGTCTGATAGCCAGGAGTGGCTATCAGACTGAAGAAACTAATCCTTGGGCTAGTAGGGAACACAATTTCCTGCAGAGCAGGAAATATCTCCATTTATTAAAGTGACCAACAGCAGATAAAATCAATGGAGAATTGTTATTAAAACATCTGAAAATAGAAGTACGAATACTGATAGACTTTTTGAGTCCATCCTGGTTGCTTTCCACTAAGTGAAAGATCTAAGAACCAAAAATCAGGGGCTGGGAAATGACAGAATCCACTAATGGTGACTGATGGGAGCCAGTCTTAGCACCTGTGAACCACAATTTGCATTCAAAACATTTTACCAGCATTAGCTAATTGTTTCTCACACCTCTTCTGCAAGGAACTATTTAACAGTCAGGTTTAGTAGAGGAAGGAGAGGGGAGATAATGACTTATCCAAGGCCATGCAGTGAGTCAGTATCACTTTGACCTCTGCAGCTCAGCAATAAGAAATGTTTGAATAGTTTATTCATTAGAAGATGTGGTTTTTTTGAGTGACTGAAGTGATTCTCCCACCATGAATATCTCCAGGCTGCAAGTAGCTTTAGCTATCAGACACAGGGGAATACTGAGATATTTAGAAGAACAAACTCAAACACACAAATCAAACCTCAAATGTTTTTCAGAAAAAATACTTCTAGTTTGGAAAGAATGCACCTTCTAAAAATATTATCTTTCTAATTTTTAAGGGCACATATGAATTCTCTATTCTACCATTTTCTTTTAAGGATAAAGAAGGCTTTTTTTTTTAGAACCATAGAATCCTTGAAGTTGGAAAAGATCTGTAAGATCAAGTCCAGCTGTTAACCTAATACTGCCAAGTCCACCACTAAACTATGTCCCTCAGCACCACATCTACACAACTTTACCTCCAGGGATGGTGACTCCATCACTTCCCTGGGCAGCCTGTTCCAGTGCTTAACAACCCTTCCTGAGAAAATTTCTTTCCTAATGCCCAATCTAAATGTCCCCTGATGCAACTTGAGGCTACTTCCTCTTGTCCCATCACTTGTTATTTGGGAGAAGAGACTGAGTCCCACCTCGCTACAACCTCCTGTCAGGTACTTGTAGAGAGTGATAAGATCTCCCCTCAGCCTCCTTTTCTGCAGGATGAACAACCCCACTTCCCTCAGCCACTCCCCATAAGGCTTGTTCTAGAGACCCTTCACCAGATTCACTGCCCTTCTTTGGACACCAAGGAGAAAACAAAACAAAACAAAACAAAACAAAAATAGTTTCAAGACAGTCTTCATTCTCATGAATGACTAAAAAAACCACTCCAATTATTTTCAGAGCCAAGCTCCCTTCACTTAGCCTGTATCTTCAATGCTATCTTCAAAGAAGACCCCTCCAAACTCAGCTGGAAACTGCAAACAGAGCAAGACAAATGTAAATCTTATTAACATCATACCCAAAACGTCTCCATTGAGGTGCCACTTCTCAGAGATTTAAGATGTTTGACAGTTGTCATGTTCCCTTTGTTGTTCAGCCAGCTCCAAAACCTCAGCTTAGTTATGCTGCTTGTATATTTTTACTTGCTTTATTTTAATGCACTTGGATCTTGGTTTTGTATACTTGAAATAGCACAGAAACTTTAATTGTTCTGCTGTCATATTTTCTCTAAGTTGCTGTCAGAATTCATTTTTTTCCTCATCAAATAATTAAATGCAAGATGCCCTGCACTCTTGCACATATATGTATGGCTATGTGTATATATAGAGAACTATATGCCTAATTTAAATTACACTGACCACAAAGAATCAGAATGCACTGCCATTACCCTTTAACACATAAATACGTTCCCTTTTTGAAAGCAGGATGTTCTATCAGCCCTCCAGTGTAGGCAGAACACACAGAGCTATCTGGAGCCGCAGATATCTGGATGGGTAAATGAGAATAACTACATGAGACACAAAAGGGCTGAGGTAAATCAGTGTGGATGGTACAACCCACAACCACAGCAGGTCACCCAGGGCTCTCCCTTGGGTCCTTCAACTGTTTTGTTCCTCAGTTACATGAAACATAAATACAAGAGGCATCCAAGATGCTATTAATCCATTAATATAAATTATATATATCCCAAACACTGCTTGAGCTATTCTTTACAAGTTATTCTTAAACTTCAACAGGTTAAGTAGTGAAGCATGAAGGAAATTATGAAAGACCAATTGTGAACTTTATTTGTTGCATTTCAACAGCAGCAGTGTGCAGAGAGCGACACGGACATCTCTCTACAGCAATGCAAAGCATCTCTATTGTTGGTTTTCATCATGAATACAGTTCAAAGCACCTTTTATCTGTAACTGCTTTCCATCAGGCTGCAGCTTTGGGCCAAAATACCTAGCTGCAATGATGGGGGGAAAAATGAAATGAAATCTATCTTCTCCATGAAACTCTTTGCAAGATCTCTAGAAGCAACAGGATATTTCCATGCATCTTGGCAACATTCCCTCTCAAATTCTGACTCTTGCTAAATGATTTTTCTCTATAACCTAAAAAAATAAAATAAAAATAAATCCAAATCTGTACAGCAAATGGCACATTAATAATGGGGAAAGGAACAGAGAGATGTTCACTGCTGTTGGCTTTTCATGGTGATTGTTATTATCCACAAAGGAGACATCGGCCTGAGCCAGAGCAGCAGGCACACACCCTCCCACATCCCAAGGAGTGCACAGCCTTGCCCTCAGTCTGCCCTCCTGCCCCATTCAAACCTCTCTGTAGCTTAAAAAAGCCTCAAAGGATGAGGTTCTGGCCCATTTTTGCTTCAAATAGTATTGGACGAGATAGTTATGTGATGTTACAGTCAGGATCTTTGCTCTCTGTGCTACCACCCCTGTGCCCATGAGTGGCTGCCCGTGCCATGCAGCTGCCCCGGGACCCACAGCTCCGGGTGTCTGAGCTGGCTGGGGTATCAGGACCGATGAACTACATGAACTACGCTTGCAGAGAGCAGTAGAAAGCTGTGATGAAACCTCAGGAGAAAAAAGCAAAGTAAACAGAAGGTTTACTGGTGTAAGGTTCACCTCTTTAAACCGTTTTCCTCCTTCAAGTGCTTTACCCCCCTCTGGGAAATGCTTTTTTCCATGCTGGAATTTGAAGAGACAAATGAACTTTAAATGCTTCAAAGGCAGATGCAAAACTAAGCTCATCTGTAACTCTTCCCTGCCTGCAGGGACACCGAATACCACAATGCCTCCCCGCCACAGAAGACACACAGTGTCTGCAGAGACTTCTTCTTCGGGAGAAGCAAGGACTAAAACACAACTGTACCCGACAGGAGCTATGGGTATACACTGATACACAAGGTTGTGTTACAAATACCACAGCTGGACAGTCAAATTCCAGCCTCTCACAGACCCACATCTGTTGATGCAAGTGTTAAATGCCACAAACCCAGAAATCTTCATCCACCTTTAATCTGCATTTCTCTCTCTCAATAACTTTCACTAAAGCCAAGCGTGATTTTTACGGTGTAAAGATTTCAAGATAGGATCCATACGTGGCAGCAGAATGTGCACGTTTGCGGTGCAGGGGAAACAAAACTCAGCACTCCCAGATTAAAACAGCAGCAGCTGCTGACCATAAATTGTGCTCATTGGTGAAGTTTAGGGGTAAAAACAAAAGCAGTGCATCTGGTTTTCAGCTGGCTACAGGAGGATGAGTTTTACTTGCTCTGCAATATTTAATTTTTATGGTGCTGGATCAATTGCAGATTTGCCATGGATATCTACAACATTCAAGTCCGGACAAAGTCAGCCTGAAGAACAATGAGCTTGAAACCAGGCATTCCTGGTTCTGACAGTACCATGGGATGCATGTCAGCAGGTTTGCTGTTTCAAACATCATCTTTTCCAATTTTTGTCTCGCTATTCATTAGTAGCTACTTCTTATCTCTCTTTGTGCTTGCAAATCACATTAAATACACAGAAAAAATTGGAAGGTTACACCAGGACCAAATCAGAAGCAGAGAGCCCATAAATATAGCCTGTATGTATCCACAGTTAAAGATTAAAGCAGAATTTTCAAACCAGCACTGACACCACTAATTTTTGTTGTTGTATAGACTTAATCTCACCCCCAGAACACACAAA